CAATCCACAAACTGAAGAAGGTAGCAGTGTGTAACACTGAAACATGGTACCCTAAAGCCCCGTGGATAAGTCCTCCACCTAGGATCAGGGCACTTCCTGCTGGTTGGGGAAATTTTGGGAAATTGTTGGGGAAGTACGACCCCCCCCCGTAGTTCCCTCCTCTGATCCGACCCCCTTCCCCACACATTTTACCCACCACTTTCCTGGACTTTCTCAACTCTCAACACTTTTTCCACTTTTTCCGGAAATTCAAAACTTTCTAGTTTTTCCCAAAATTTGGCTGTCGAGATAGGGTTATATAGCATACGGGAAATCGAGAAAATTTTTCCAAACGCCCCCAAATTTCTATCAAAGGCAAGTAGGACCCACCCTCCCCCCCCCCCTTTATAGCGTCCGTGAAACAAGAAAAAATCAACTATCAAAAAAATTTCTCAGATCAAATACGAACCCCCTTCCCCGAAGCGACCATGTACGACTACCTCCCGCAGAGGATTCCCCAACGTACGACGTAGTCAGCTCATGGCACACTATTAGTTGGGGATTTACACTGGTCGGGTCCGCACGACCCCCAAAGGTGGCGTGGTACGACCCTCTCCCTAGTTTCTTCCTCTAATACGATGGAGCTATAGAACCGGGGGGAGGGGGGTTGTATAGCACATGTGAATCGGGAAAAACTTCGAAAAACAACTGAGCATACTCTTTCTCAACGCCGCAAATATCTCTCGAAAAGCAAATACGACCGACCCTCCCCCCCCCCTTGTTGGAGAATCCCCAACGATGATGGGCCCTGCTGCCACTAGATGAGTCCGCGCGACGTAGCGGTCGCCGCGCGTGCGAACACTAGATGAAAACTTGTTATTTTCAGAATACTTGATTCTGGAGCGGCAGAATATGTTATCTAGCATCTGTTATCGAAAAGTAGCACTAAATTGTGGATAATCTACAAAAGGATGGAGGTTAGATCGAAGAGGTTTGAAGCAAACAACAGGAATAGAAATAGAATGATCTATAAGAAGAATGTTTGAAGGACCTCAAAGTTGCGTTGGAAAAATGTTGGGCGATTTTTGGAGAAAGGGCTTGTCATCACTAGAAAATCCCTGTTTCGTGATTCTCCCAGTCTGTGTCGCAAAGCGCGGATGCGGCCCAGTGGCTGACCCCATTTTTTCCTGATTATTTTTTTCTTTCTTTCGTTTGGCTAGCAGATAAATCCGTATTGAGATAAATTCGAACCGATTTTTTTTCATCATTGTCTTCAAAATTAGCAGTTTTACAACTGTCTTAAGAGTAGTTCATTGAACGTTCGACATGAAGAGCTTTCTCTTCTCTAGTTTACTGTTTGCTCACTGATCACATCGTACTGAAATCCTTTTCCAAAGTCTGGTTTTTTCAGTGAATACGATTTGATTCCAACTCACAGCGCAGTGGTCGCATGCGCGACGTCGCGCTCATTTATGGAATTGCGGACTTATCTACCGGATTTTGGGGTAATTAAAAATGAGAACATTGCAAGCTACTATGTTTCCCTTGTTACGTTCTGTGTCACACAAAAAATCCTAGAGATGCGGTAGGCGTGGCTGCGTACTTGGATTGTACGGCGCGGTGGCTAAGCTTTTCCTAAGATAACTTGATTTTGGGACAGTTGTAATCAAGTCTTTATCCAACACAGAACAGGATGACAACTGTCCCAAACTGACATGCTCAAATGCCACGCCTACTGCGCCCAAGGGATAAGAAGTGTACGACTTCGGAATACGTATTTGTCCTTAAATACATCTCCTGTAATGTACTTCCATACAGGAGCAAATGACCCAGGGGGAGCAAAAATTTCTTTCACTTTCAGAAGGTTGGCAAGTATTCCTAGTACAGTTAGAATGACGGCAATGGAGAATTTCCAGCCATTGCAGCTAGTTTAGTCTATTATGCTTGAGAATACTAGACTAAGAAACGGTTTTTTCTGTTGGTGACTCCTGTCAAATCGTCACTGCTTGGCTAGACCGGATCATTCTTGCGTCTTACGTCGGCTAACTAATGACAGTCAACAACCATGCTGAACAAAGTGAAAGCTATAAGGGGGGCAGTTCGGCGGCGGGGGAAGGAGCTCTTTGCACTCTCGCTACTTCGACGTGTGGACCCATCTGAAGAGCCTTTTCTTGAGTTGACAGGTTTTACCATGATGGCTTGACGAGCTTGCTCCAGCTTCACAAGAGTTCACAGGTTTCACCAGAGTGAGACTTGTAAACCAGAACTAGTGAAGTAGCGGAAGTGCGAAATGCCCCTTCCGTCGCCGAACTGCGAACTATAAAGTGTTGAAATCGAAATACAGCATCCCAATTCATAAACGGGAAGATGAGCATACTAGTATTCGACTTGAAGTGGAACAACATGCAAAAAACGCTCACATGCATATTAAGAAATTCATAGAAAGCAGCAGCACTCACCGATGATGACAAGCCTCAAAAAGAGGTTCAATACGCTGTATGTTCAGGATACAAAGGCTTCCAAAGAAGGCACATCATCGCTGGGGATTCTTCAGCAGGGTAGGTAGTCGTATTGGGTCCCTGGGGGTCGTACTTGGTCCGAGAAAAATTTTTTTGATAGCTGGTTTTTCTTGTTTCATGGACGCTGTAAGGGGAGGTCATATTTGCTCGTTGTTGGGAACCTGGGGATTCCCCAGCAGGGGGTCGTCGTATTCGGTCGCTGAGGGGAGTGAGGGTCGTATTTGCCTTTTGGCCTTCTGAGTGCAGTTGTTGACTTTTCGTGGTTGTTCCTGTTTCATATTCATCGCCCCTGCCCCTCCCCCCTCGTCAGCACAATTTCTGAGGATAAGTAGGAGAGTTTCTGGAAAATTCTTTGAAAAAGTGGCAGGAAGTTGGGTAAAATCTAAGAAATGGTGCAAGGGGGGGGGGGTCGTGTCTTGCTCGCGGTTCCCTCTCTCCCGCTTCACAGCTTGATCGCATCAGAAGAGGGAACTAGGGGGGGGGAGGGCAAGGTCGTATCAAACCACCCCTTATGGTTAGAGGGACGGGTCGTACGGAGTCAACGAAAACCCTAGCTAGTGATATGCCCTGGTTGGGAGAGGGGTCGTGATCGTTTCTGAGAGAATTATGCGGGAAAAATTTTCCCCGGTTGTCACTTTTCGCGGTTTTTTCCGTTTGTGTGTGTCATGTCCATCCCCTCACACCCCCTCCCTTTCGACAGCTTCATCGCATGAGGATTAGGAGTCGTACGGAGTCGACCAAACCCTACTGACCTACTGATGAGGTGCCCTACCTCGAAAACAACTCGAATTATTAGGAGATCTTTCAAAGCATTGAAGCAAAGAAAATTATGGATACGTCAGAAAATAGCTCGTGACTTTACAACCAGATAAAGCTCCAAAAGCGTAAGCTACTATAAAAACAAAGTGTTTCAATATCAATATCTTTTGGTGTCACCTTTGGTTGGGTGCTTTGGAAGCTCCTTGCAGCCTTCTCAGCTGCCCTTCTCACAGCACCCTCCGGGAAAGGTCCACCTGCACCAGACGGTTTCTCGCTAATCTGTAATTTCACTAATCAGTCCTGTAAATCTACCATACCATATGTCCGAGCTGTAGCAGTCGAAAGTCTAATTGGCCTCATACCGCACCTCTTCAGGAACGATTCCATTTTGTTGGCTCCTCTCAGCGATATCCTCTTCGCCATCGTTCTCATTATGGCCATCAGCGTAGTGTTCTCCATCCGACTCCTCCTTATAATCCATCTTAAACACCAGTATTTACTTGAAATTTCTTCTTTTTATGTGCAGAGGACCTTGGGTGAACTGTTTCTATCAGGCGAGCCGTTTCCAACCACTGAAGCCCAGTTGTGCGAAGGAGTCTCAGGCGGAACCCTTTGGGTGAGTATGCTGGGAACTCTGGAAACAGAATCCAGTTGACAACAAACATATACTGCAAAGCGTCTTTAGTATGGATTTAGAATTCTATAAGAATAAAAAAAGAGGAAGATAGTTCTGAGATAATTAGGTAGGACCATTACTCAGAATATTGGGTTGGCCCACGAGTAATAGCGTTTTTTTCTCATTCGGAATATCATGCGAAAGATGGAAAGTTTTGCCAATGAGTACTGTACTGTTCTGTGGCGATTTCCTCACCCCATACGACAATCCATTTGGTTTTTCCGAAGTTTCTCTTTCCACTAATATTTCAAGTGCTCAAACTGGAGTGTCAGGTCGACGAAATTGAGCATTTTCGACAGCCTCTCTTTTTTACTTCTAATTAAAAAGCTAAAACCGCACAGGCTCATGTATTGAGTATTTGATCGAGATGCTACGTCTCTTAGAAACGCTCATAACGGTTGATGCGATTCAGAGATTCAAATTTCGATCTCGTAGACAAAAGTCGAACCTGGTCCTACTGAGCTCTTTCGGGAACTTACTGAATCACCTTATTCATGGATTCTCATGCTAAAGTATGGGGAATTGTCGTAGGTCATGAAATCTTCCCTATCATAGTCAAACATCACCCTGAGTTGATGACACTTATTCGAAGGTTAGTAAGTGGGTTTTGCAGGCAGTTCCTCCCCAAGTGGGCGCCCCATGCAATGCGCTTTTACAAGGTTCGAATTCCCATCTCCCGATCGCTTGAACCAACTTCGAGCTGTTGTAAGAAGCACCATTCCTTGTTCATATGACTCGCAAGCTCTGCGATTCCTCTGTAATTTGAGAGCCGAGATAAAGTGCAAAAAGTTGTTGCCAAAAACTTGTATTTATGTTTACCCGGCACTCCATTTCAATGAAAAAAAGCGACAGGAAAAAGGAAATGTGGGAAAGCAATTACACTCTCTTATAGAACAGGAAATTATCTATCGAATGGCCCTGGAAGTATTGGAAATAAACTCCACTTTTCATATAAAAAAATTGTAAGAAAAAAAACGCCGTTTCTTGTGGGCCAGCTCAATAATGAAAGTGAACCAATGTTGAATATATTGTGCAAGGGTACAACTCCATATAGTCGAAGATGTTCAGAATAGTGGAAAGCACTTATGAATCGAACCTTTGATAATGCTGCGTCGTTGCCAATAGTTCGAGGACAATATTCAATTTCACGTCAATATCATTGAGCCGACGGTCCATTTTGTGAAGTAGCGCTTTTGAATCGGTATCTAGCACGGTAAGTGGTGGCGATTCCGCCATCGAGAGTTAGCCTCAAGGGCTACACGAATTATTAGTCGGAATCGTGTGGCGCGTGTCCGCTGACGCGAGCTGTGCTGTGTGTGCTGGCGACTCCGCCTATCAAGGGATACTGTACCTGTTCATCACAGTTCCTCCTTGACGCCCACTATTTTCGACTTTCATACTGGTCTTCCGAGTGGGAGGGGTTACCTAAGTACGAGAGAAACCCCCTTGGACTTGGAACCTACAGGTAGTCAACAACCTCCTCTCCTGCAAACTTTACAAATGAAAACATGCGATGAGACATGGTTCGATTCAAGTATCGTTTGCCGTCAAAGAGGATTCGGAGTTAACAATCGAAGACTTGCGACGAGACCTGGATGTGCCCAATCAACAGTCGTCGGTCGCCTTCAGGCCCTCGGTTACAGAAAAGTGCTGACTCGATGGATACCTCATGTCTTGACCGATAGCATGCGGTACACCCGGGTATCCATTTGTCAGTCTCTCCTCCGCCCACATCGCAATTCTGCCGCACATGCTGAAAAGTTTCTGAAGGACGCTACTCCACTGGAGAATGAAAGCTGGATCCTCCACGACGCTAACAAGCACCGCGCGCCGTCTGGCTCCCGCGAGGAGAACAGCCGCCGACGCAAGCCAAATCCGACCTCCACCCCAAGAAGTTTCTCCTTTGCTGCTTCTGGGATTCAAAAGGAACGCTGTGCTACGAACTGCTCAAGCAAGGCCACACCGTCACCGCTCCCTATTACGCTGGTCAGCCGATGCAGAACTTGCGGATAGGCGCCGTTGGAGAAAATCGCCGTAGATGAACTTTTGTGTGCCACCTTTCCATGAAACGCTAGGGCCTACATAGGTAAAGAAACGCCGTGCAAGGACTGGGAGGGCTAGGCTGGGACACGCTTCCACCTACTTATCCAATCCCCCTATTACCTGATACTGCCCCTCAGTTTACTAATGTTTCCGATCTCTCAAGAGCTTCCAGCAGAAAAAAACGATTCGTCAACCTATGACGCATTATGACGCTGAACAAAGTGGTCGATAATTCTTTGACTGCGCCAATCATCCTCAGTTCTGGAAGAAGGGAATCACTGACCTGCCCGTTAGGTGAGACAATGCTATGACTAACGATGGTTATTATGTTGTTGATTAGTTTGCATTGTTTGCTGAGTTGTAAAATAAAACAAGAAAAAAATCTCAACCCTATCAAAACTTTTTGATTGCAATCCAATATGGTAATACAATCCCACTTCCGCTCGTCATGTTTAGGGTCCTGCGGTTCCATTTTTCAGAGTGGCTACATCTTCTTTTGCAAAATTTATTCTGAAAGTCCCGACCTTGTAACGCTAGCAGATGGGCTGATAGGATGGAAACTGAGTTCCAATCTAGCAGAAAAATTTTATCACGGCCGTTCTGGTCCTGCAGATCCCGGACTTTTTCCTGACAACTTTGCTAGGAACCGGTTCCCTCTGCTCTTCTTGAATGATGCTACATGCCAACCGCGGTCGCGTACCTCATCATAGCTAACTCCGAGGGAAATTGCGAAAAGAGAGCCTTACAGTCTTTTGCGCTGCGGACATGTGAGTGAGCACAAGTCTGGCGCGCCGTCGGCTCGTTTTCCATCACTTGTTGGAGCGAATAAGCGACAATAACTAGTGGGGAACAAAACCAAGTTTGTTAGTACAGACTACACACAGGCCGACTAACCAGGTTAGCGATTCATAAAGCAGAGTAGGTACAATATAAACAAGTTACAAGTTACAGGATCGATCTATCAGCACTGGAGCTCTTGGGTGGGTCTAACTCTGCTTTGAGAGACTTTTCACCATTTGATGTAAATCACCTGTTTTCCGGACTATCAGCGGGCCCCCTACCCTATCGAGTCTCTGTTTACCGCTCCTTGGCCAGCCTAACTACCGTTCATAAGCCCTCGCCGTTCACCGCGTAAGCCCCCATGAAAGGTTTTTTTGCCGATTTGCAAGTTGAAGCCTGTGGTGACACATTTAATGACATGCTACACTTTCCTTCAAGGTGGACTCGTACCATGTGGGAAGTGAGTGGGTCGGGCCCAGAGCGTAATAAGTAAGTAGAGTAATAATACCCACCTTTAGGGCGCTGTTTGTCGACGGGGGGCATTTTGTACTACCATTGCTTCCCTAGTTCCGGTTTACAAATCTCACCCTGGTAAAACTTGTGAACCCTTGTGAAGCTGGTGCAGGATCGTCTAGCCACCATCCTAAAACGTGTCAACTCGAGAAAAGGCTACCTAGATGGGTCGGCACATCTATGGAAAGCAGAATGCCCCCCGTCGACAAACTGCGCCCCACTTTAGCTTTTCGAAAGGGCACGGGAATGAAGCTGAGGCGTACTGAAAAGAGGATGTCGTCTGGGTTTCCATCAGATGCTCATACTGTGCAGGATGTGCGTCGATGTCGAGGTCTCTCAGTGAACGAAATCTGTAGCGTCCAGATGTAAAGAACGACTGCTGTCTAACCAATGGGGAGAGGCGCAGACAAGAAGCGCGATTGACTTGGCATGGCATATAGCTAGTAGTGCGGCTTTCACCTGGCACACTTCCCAGCGGGTGGAGCTCTAAAGCATCCCGCTATCACTCCCTCCACTCACACCCTCTTTAGTTTTGTCCCTTTTTACGACGGAAATTTGGGCGGCTTTACAGGAGGAGATACTCATACTGTAGCTGAAGTTGACCTTCAAAGCTAAATCCGCAGCGAATCTCCGCTATAGTTAAGATACAGCAAAGATGTCTCCTCTAGCAACAGAAATCTTTCTTGTTTCAAAGCCGTGTAAATATCTGTTTCACATTGAGAGTGAACAAAATTATATCCATTGAAAGTTAAAAAAACTCACGTCCGCTAAAATTTCTCTGCGTTATTTTCTGGCCAGAAGCTGTCATGCAAGCTCCGTGAAGCTGTAGTATATTTTGTGTAGACCCTGTAGGGCACATCATTGGTTGGGGATTTTGGTCGAGTCCTTACGACCCCCCC